ATGTTTATTGGACTCTAGAAAGCATCCCCTTATCCAGCATGAACAGTTCTCAATAGTTCCTTATATTTGTTCTCATTTGTTAAAACTAGTACTTTGTTTGTTTGCTTGAACTATCTGGACATCTGCTTAATTTCTTTGTTTTTTTCCCCTTCACACAGGAACGAAATAATTGTCTGACAGACTCGCGAGCTCTGAGTGTCAGTCATTCTGATCTGGTGCATTGAGATTTGGGACAGAAGCTAGCTAATATTCCTGTGTGAATAAAGAAGCACTGAGACCTTCAAAGCTTTGGTTCCTCATCCTTGTCTATAGGAACACCTAGTTTGTAGATGTTGTTTTTTTCCCAATGGACTGCTGGTTTTACTTTTTAAATAGGGATAATTTTAAACACAGCGTTAGTGAGTGTTTCCTTCTAAGGCAAAACTACAGATATGTATTGCTCATTGCACTGCTCCCGTTCATGCTACTTACATAAAGTTCTTTAATAAATCTGACTGTTACAGCAGCCAAAAAAAAAAAGCAGAAATACAAACACATTCAAAGCGTACCAAAATGAAACGGTGTTGGAAAATGTAAGCAAAATTAAATGTGTGGCAGTAAATACTTACAGTACTGGAATGAGAAGTGGATAAATTTATGTGCATTACTGTAGAAATTCCAGTTGAGCATTCTGTAGTGGTGGGGTTTGCCCTTGCACCACTGATTCTTGTAATGGTAGAAGCCTTGGCTAGCAAAACAGTGCTTAGACACGACTGACTAAACCACTAGACTGAGCTATTATATCTTACAGAAGTGATGGCTGGGGGTAAGTTACATTTAGATAGAATGCATAGCAACAGATGTGACCATAACTTTTTTGATATCTGTAAGTCTTAGGGCACAATAATAAACGGATATAGGATGGTTTGTGTACATCAGGAGAAATGGAAAAAAAAACCTTTACTTTGTGTGATTGAAGAATATTCAAGTTTTGGACTGCAACTGTCCCAGAGCAGCTGCTGCTGCTCTCAGGGAAACATCGAGCCTCAGGTTGACTTTCTTGCTTGTCCACTGGAATTCACAATCCCATTCTCTGCTTGCTGAAAGTGCCCAACGTTTCCTTATGCTGATCCCAAATCCTGCCTTTCTTCACACCAGCTGGTGACAGCAGAAGCAGGCACTTGATGCCAGGATGTCATTCTGCAGGGACCACTCCATGCTAAGGGCCCCCGTGGAAGCACTCAGTGGCTGTAAGTGACCTGTGTGACCACATATCCATGTTAAATCCACTTAGGTTAATATATATATGCTGTCTGTATACAGGACTGCTGCTGGAACAAAGTATGTATGTTTTAAGGATTTCATAGACATTAAGATTTCCTTTTGCTTTTCTGTAAAGCTTGTAATTTTGTTCATCTTTTGTAAAAATTCCTATTCGTGTGAAGTTGGATGAGAAAGTAAAAAAAAAAAACCAAGCAGTGTATGTACAAATGTATTTGTGGTCATAGTTGTGAGTCGGAAAACGTTGAACAAAATTAACTTTGGGAAAAGCTGGAAAATTCAGTCAAGGTCAGCACCAACTGAAGGAGGTAAAATATAGGAACATATGCAAGTTTTAGTATTTGAACAGGCTGTGAAAAGTCATTAGAATTAGTACTTAGTAGGAATTTTTGACTAGGTTTGCACCTGGTTTTCAGTTGGTTACAGTAACAGATGCAGAAGTTGTCTGTGTAATGCACTTAACAATGTTTACCAGGAGGTACCGTCTGAGCATCTCTGCAAAGGAAGCTGCGTGTGGTGCACCTGCTTTAGAGACAGTGTAGGAATGGTGAGAGATGATGCTGCTAATAATTATGTAGAAGTTTTAGCACATAGTGCAATTCATTAATGAACTTGAGCAGGAACAGGTTGTTGCTCTGTTATCTTAACAATAGATACTCAAATAATGTTGACTCTTGAGTTTTAATCTTTTTATTAAGAGCTTTTTATATTAAAAAAAATATGTAATATATATACTTCTTTCTTCTGCCCTAAAGTAAAACGTATTCTGTGCCCCCACTGGTGAACTGGGCTCCCTGCACAAAGGCAGACTGAGCTGGCTTTGCTAAAAAAACCGTGTGAGGCTGCCAGCTGTGCCCTTGTCCAGCCCCTGCTCCCCTTGAAGTCTGGCTTCCAGAAAAACTATTCAGTCACAAAACTGTTTCAGTAGTAAGGAATTACTTAAACTGAAGGATGTGATTCCCACAGTCATCTTTCAACATTGAAGCAAAATGATTTTTTGCAACCTCTCAAGTCCCAACCCTGTGTAAATAAGCAATAAATTATGTAACCATGCCAAATGACAATGTACAGTAAGTTTCAAAGTGCAAGACTGTGGTATGTTAATAATGATAGTGAGTGAGCTTTCCTGGTCAAGATCTTGCTGGTGGTGGCATTACTAATGCTGTGCTTTTAAATGTTTTAATTCTTTATATAGTATTTTAAAGTGTGATGGAAGGTTAAGTTGTTGAGCTAATGCATTTTAAACAACTCTTATATTTAAAAGGTTCATTTATTTTTCTGAGAAGAAATAAATTTCAAGACTTCTTTAATCCATAAATCCTTGACAGTAGTAGTCAAGTCCTTACTGTTAGGAGCCAGTGAACTGTTAGCAGTTTGAGAATTTTTAAAAAACAAAAACCAAATTAAACTCGACCTTCCCTGTGTTTGACTCATGTATGAGTTACTGTCAAGACGTGGTTTGTGTGCATTTATATTTCAGATGGGCTTCCCAGTTCACTTTAACACAAGATTTTCTTTCTGGATTTCCTTTTGTAAGGTTCAGGTATAGCTAAGTCTGCATAAAGAATATATCCAGAATATCCAATAGTATCATTCTGGGATGTCTTCATCACCAAACTAAATCAACAGCTCCAATGAAACACAAAAGTGGAAAAGACCTTCAAAACTGACCAACATCTTGTTAGGAAAACTGCAGCCTTGGTACTGTGGTTGTTTTTAACCTGGCATTTTTATCCTTCACTGAAATTTTAAGAGTGAACTTGAATAAAAATGTAACAAGGATTCCATGTTAGGCCTCAGATTCTTCCACAAGCAGTGGTGAGTCTGGGTGTACAGCAGGATGTGGGATGAATGGTACATGGAATTGTTACTGATAGAAAGGTGCCTGTTACCCTTCTGTCTCTGGTTATTGGCAATATTTGGTTTTGAGTTTAGATCTTACTCAACAGTCTTGTAAAATGAATTGTTTCTTGATTTGGTCCTCTTCTGGAGGAGTAACTGACCTGTTGCTGTGGTGTGTCTGCACTTAACACAATGCAAAAAGAATCAGTTCTCTACAGTTTGTACTTTTTCTTATAGTAAATGACACCTTCATCCCCAAGCACTCCTGAATCATAGTAAATTAAAATGGTTTTGAGCTTGAGAAGTATTTGTACTTAAATTGTATCATTTGAATCCAGAGATTTTGCAAATGGTGTGGTTCTGTTGTAAATATCTAGTAAAAGGTGTGTGCACTGACAGTGTGTTCACAGTAGTTGATGAGTTGAAGTTACTTTGGTTTTTATTATGCAGGTCACATGTTGTGTCTGAAGGCTGCTAAGAGTGGCATTTTTGGTCACGTTAGTCTGTACTGAGAGAATAAATATTAACAGATGTGATGCTGAGAAGTTTAGTTTCATTGTCATCGATTTACAAAAGTACACAGGGGGGTTGTGTGTGTGTAAATATTTAGAATTGGGGAATATCTCAAACATTTACATTGGATTAATATTTTCCCCTAAAACCATTCACAATTGTGCCAGTAGACTGAATAGTTAAGGTGAGTTGTTAAAAAACCTGAAACAACAAAGCAAGAAGCCAAACAGAGTGTGGGGGTCTGGTAGAGTTCCAAAGCTGGGAGGGTGCTTGTGCTCACAGTGAAATTGCAATACTTGGTTACTTCTGCCTGTAAATGAGAAATGTTTAGGGAACCATAGTTTCTCCAGTGTCATTTAACATTTCTTTTCAAAGTGTAAAAGAATATTTAAGTAGTCTTGCAGGATAAAGACTTAATACATTTTAGACTGTAAATCTTTGTAAAAACTACTTCAGTTTTTTTGCTTGTATAGAATACAAATCTCAGTTGTGAAACCCAAAGATGAATAAAGCTCTATAAAGGGAAAGTTCTTAAATTGCATTTATTAAAATTTAAGCACATGTCAACACTTTTGACACAAGGCTTCAGTAGACAGGTGCTGTGTCTGGTTCCCATGAGGGTTTGCAGCCTCAAAGCTGCACTTGGGTCAGATGGACATCCTGGGCTGTGCCTGGGGGTGGGACTGAGGCACGGGGTAGGAACTGGAGTGACTGAGTGAAGCTGAGCTTCAATGGGACTCAGCTGGATTTGAGATTTCAGGGTTTGTGTGTGCTCATGAGCCAGGAGACAAACTGTCATGTTCTCTGACTCAGCTGGAGAGAAATAACAACAGGATAATGACAGAACACTTGAGCAGGTAAAATGTTACTTGTGTTTGTTGGTAAAAGTGTTTTTCACCAGGTAAACTGGAACTTTGATTACAGACTCATCTGTGACTTTTAACACTTCAGAGCCATTCCTGCAAGCAGTCAAGTTGCAAAAAAGAGCGATCAAAATCTTATAGACTGAACCTTCAGAGGTTTCACAGTGTTTTGGACGTGGCTCACAGCAAGGCAAACTCCTGGGATTGGAGCCCAGGATTTGATGAGGTTTTTCTGTAAATGAATACCAGGGTAGGGTTTGATGACTCTCATTAATCAGCTACATCTGTCTGTGGCTGCTTTTCCCAGTCAGCACAATGGGATGAACATTACCTTGGCTGCAGTTCCTGTCCACATACACAGGGCAGGAAGAGAAGAGAACTGGAGTGTTACTTGTGCTGTATTAGTTGATCTTTCTTGAAGTTGTTATGAGGAGGCACAGAAGGTAAGGGTTTGAAGAAGGAGGTGGCCCTGTCTCTGAGCTGTGGAACTCTCACTTTTTCCCTAGAGTACACAAAGGCTTCTAAGCTTCATGGTTGGATTTTATTAAAAAATTCTGTGCAGTCATTTCCAAGTACAGAGAATTAAGACATTTTAGAAAAATAATTTGGACACAATTTGTGCTCTTTGCACATGGGCCCCTGAGACATCTGAAAGGGTTGCAGAAGGCCCTGAAAGCAGCTCATCCTTTCTGCTTGCTTATGGTCTCCTTCCTTCAGCTCCAAGCTGTGCCTGTTCTCCCCTTGGCAGGATCTCTTTTCCTTGAGTCATACTCAGTTGTCCCTTGAGCACTCTACCACAGTTGCAGCTGAGGCAGTTTACAGCCAGCCAAAACTTTTCCTTTCAGCTGCCCAGCTTCATGCTTCCACATGAAAAGATGGATGAATGTCCTGAAGGAGCGTGACTGGTGAAAGGCAGAGGAAGCGGCTGTTTCACAAACACAGGGTTCCTTGGCCAAAAGACAGACCTAGGCACTGTCAGTTCACAAAAACATGGAGTTCTTGTCTGGGCCAGCAGCAGGAGGAGGGAAAACATGAGAGCTTGGTGAGCGTGTGAAACCAGTGAGCATCACTCACTGATAGGAGCAGGCACCCACAGAACAGAGGCCTTTGGACAGTGTAACTTCACCTGGCTTGCTTTCACATGGAACAGAGCAATGGAAAAACTTAGCCATAGGAAGAGTGGATGTTATGGCAGTGGTCTGAGGATAGCAGAAAAATGTGACAAACAGCACAAAGACGGGAAGAAAGCTGTAAATGAACAACAAAAATCACCTGAGAAGAACACTCGCATCTGAATGGATGAAAAAAGCTGAAGGTGCCCTTCAGGATCACAGGTGAGCTGAGAGCCCGGCAGTAGGGACACAGGACATGAGAGGCAGCAATCCAGAGGCCAAGAAGAATGCTGATCCAGCAAACACACAGGGCAGAGCATCAGGAAGAACAGAGACCTTGCCCTGAGGCTACACAGCTTCAGCAATGGGCAAAGAAAACAAGGGGATGGGGGATGTGGTTTGCTGTCCTTCAAATGAAAGAGGCTAAAGAGCTTTTGCTATGAAGTGAAGGGACTGGAAAGCAGGAAAAGAGTGGAAGTGAACCATTAGAATAATTTTTTAGAGTGCTATGAAGCCAGATACCCTCATTTAGTACAAAGGCATTGCCATTTTAATTTTCTTACAGTAAGGTGTTAAATACCTTTATGGTATTATTTTCTTTAAAATTTTAATAACAAGTGGTTTTAAAATAGGACAGCTGCTTTGTGACAAAGAATGGCTATCTTTCATTGGCAGCATGAGACCCAGAACCAGCAGCAGGCAATATAAACTGGTTCAATTTCAAGTCCCTTTGGGTCTGGAAACAGATAAATGCTGTTTCTAGATGAGCAGGCTATTAAAATAAAATTAGACATCAGGTCTCCCCCATCGTGGAGATTGCTACATCTCACTCCACTGGGCAGCTTCCACCAGCCCACAGCTTCCCTCTCTCTCAGAACCCTCAGAACTCTGCTCACAAGGAAAAGCTGAATATCCAAGTGTAAAAAGATCATCTTTCACAATGTAGACAAAGCTAAATGTAGTCATACCATTGTTCAAATACTTCAATTTCTCTCATCTAGGAAGAACTACATTTCACTGGTAATTCTTCCTGAAGCAAAGTTCTGGTACGTTTTTGGAGCAAGTTGCTTTGCTATGAAAAAGGGTTATTTTATTCCTTTTACACCTTCCAACTGTACTGTGTAGCAGCAAAAGGATGGAGGGAGATGAGGAGCAAACACTACACTCAAAGTCCTCACGCTTCCAGCGCTGTGTGATGCTGCTCCAGGTGAGGGGCCAGGCAGTGATGTCCGGCTGACCATCAGTCTCATCAGCAGCTGGTTGGACCAGGTTATTCCAAGTGCTGGAGTGACTCTGCTACCCACTATCCTGTAAAGGAAGTATTACACATTTCTGCATGCATGGATTTCATATGCAATACCTTCTGTTTTAACAAAACTGCACTAGAAGACATAATTTACTGTTCTCTCAACGTGTATTGAAAATTATAGGTCTTTGAAGACAGAGGTGACAGGGTTTACTCTACAGGGAGAACCTAAATTCTCCCTTTAGCAAGGAAACAGCTGCAAGAGAACTGCTTCTATACAGAACAGCTGTCATTCTTTCAACTACAGCCAGGGGGAATATCTCCCTCCGTCTGGACAGGCCTCTCTTGCAACAGGAAAACCACAATAGAAAAATGGTTGAACTTTTAATATTTGAAGTGTGTAAGTGTTAGCCTTGGATTCCATTTGCAGGTATGTTTAGAAATGTTGGGTAAACAGAACACTGTGTATGTATGAATTTCAACCCAATGTTTAAAACAACTTTTTTCCCCCAGGAAAAAGTGCAATTTCTCCAGTAAAAGATAACCAGGCAAAAAAATAATAATTGAACCTTATCTTTGTTCTGTGTCAGGTTCAGAATCTGAAGGACGCAGTGAACTTCTCACAAACACCCATTTATGTAGCAGCCAGCTTATGCAGTAAATCAAGGTCATAGTTAGGATTCAAACAACAAATTCATACATTTGAATCTTGTTAATACCTTTGTGTCAAAAGTTACTACTTTGGGTTTTTTCTTAGCTCACTAACAAAGCCAGCTGCTAGGGCTTGGTTGCTATATCTTTTAAGCAGACTGAAGATGCACTCAGTTATATCAGGAACAAGACAAGATGCAAAAATTCTCTCATGTAAGCAGGTACTCAAGCCATTAACTCCAAGGAATTTTTCCTGCTAACTTGTGATTAGGGATCACAATGTAAATGTATATGACACTTTTTTCCCTTTGCAGCATGAGTTAGTGCTGATCTCCAGTAAATTCAGTATTGCTGGGTAAATGCCCCACTGCTCTTCACATGATCTTGTAGCTTACCCTGGACTGACACTGGTTCAGAACTGCAGTGTTTGTCACACTGTGTAGATGACTCACCTACAACTGCACTGAGCAGCTTCTGACTCGCTCACTGCATCCGTCACCTGAAGCACAAAAACAAGGTTTGCAGTTGACCTGGGGTTCTGGGTTTGTATTTAGCAAAGCAGGAGGGCAGGGAAGGGAGCCAAGGCAAGAAAATCCAAGTTATCAGAGCATATATTAAGCCAAGTTAGAAAACACTTATTCTTTCAAGGCAAACGAAAGTGGATTTGGGAATTACAAGCAAATTACAGTGTTAGAACTAATTAGCAAACTACAGTTTACATTAATTAAACTACTTCTAGATGCTTTGTTAAAAAAAACCCCAAACCACAAACTCCCCACATTCACAAAATTGTTCCAGTGCTGTAGCTGGAGATAAAAAGTACAAAAGCTCAGATCTCCCAAAAGTTCTCAACGATTTCACTACCTTTGAAGTTTGAAGTTTTTTGGTGGCCTGCCTTACCCTTTCCCAAAGCCACATTTGGAGTGTGAATGCTTCACCTCTGGCATTCATTCAGATGCTCCTTCAGTTTGTGAGGGGACTAAGAGCATTGTCTTGCCTTGTTTTCTCAAAAGAATACTCTTTGTGACCAGTATCAGTGTGGCCTTGTTTTGGTCCAGCTCAATCAGTGCATGCACTTTAGTGCTTCAGTAATCTCAGCAGTTACACAAAAATGCTAACTTCCACGGAAATGCAGCAAAGTCCCTGGTGCTTCACTGTCTCCTGGAATATAATTGTGCCTGCAGAGCTCTCAGAGCAATCCTGCTGGCAATGGCATTTGAAGCCAGTGAAAAGAAAGAGCTCTGTTATTTTGCCTTGATGCTCTGTGCAGCTGCTATACATACCTATTTCTGTTAGCTTTAGTGGACAACTTTTGAGAACATTAACAGCCTATAAAAGCTTAAATAATAAACTTTGAGTAATTAACATTTACTGTAGTACATCAGTTTAAGGAAGCTTCAGTTTCCATCAGTCAGCTGCTGACAGTGGTAAATTTACACAGATTGCTCCATCACCCTCCAGCCATTTATTAAACAGTCTCTATAGAATAAGAAGCAATTTGATATCATACCTGGTTAATGCACATGATGGGAGTCCTGAACCTGGTGCTCAGGCTGTGAAGCTGTGCCCCAAAGGTCTGCAAGTAGCGAGCCTTCAGAGCAGACTGGGCAGGGCCGAACTCGCAGCGGAACAGGGCGGCGATGGAGTCGATGACCACGAGCCGTGCCATGCCCCGAGCCAGCAGCAGGGACAGTCTCTTCGTGATGCACTGCTGGAAGGTGTCCTGCCACACACACAGACACTGACACAGGGCAAAGAACCCTGCTGGGACAGCAAAAGACTGAACTACAGCAACCACCACTGCAGCACGAGCTCAAGGAGTTTCAAATCGTGAAGGCAGCTGGTGGGTGTCTAAGTCTCACCAGTAACCACATCTGGTGGTTTTACTGAGGATAAAACTCAAGGGACAAAACTGTAACCTGCATTTATTTATCTGCAGCTCTGACTTTAAAACCTCAAGGGTGTAGTACTACATGCCTGATCTGTTCCTGTTTTCATAAAGTAATATAAAGGGCTGGAATGGACCTTAAAAATCATCCAGTCCCAACCCCCTTGTCATGGGGGGGCTCCTATGAGGTCTCCATACAACCTCTTCTTCTCCAGGATGAACGGCCCCAACTTTCTCAGCCTGCCTGGGGAAGGAGTGGTTCTCACTGAAACACTCAGGACACGAGACTATCATTAAATGTTCCAAACCAGTTACAGACTGTGCTGCTCTTCAGCTAATGACCCTTTAACAGTAAAATACTGCCTCAAATCCATACTGATCAAGAAAAACATTCTTTGTGCTACTACTTACCAGGTCTGCTGCCTGCTCAACAAAAATACTGTTTCCAAATCTGATCTTCTGTATGATTTCACGTGGAACATCTGCACGCAGTTTATGCTGTTGATCTATGAGCTGCTGCAAACGTTTGCTTGGGAACACATCTTCTGTACAAATGTAGACAGCTCCTGCAGCCCAGGAAACCACAGGGCTGTTACATACAGTTTTCCTAACAACACACAAACTACATGAGACATTTTGCACCTAAAAGCTACACATATGATCCTGGAAATTAATGTTGGGTTTGTTGGGGTTTTTTTCACAGCCATGTTGAATCAGTGATGAACAAAAACCCCACTCCTGTGAGTTCCCTGCAGTTGCCTGGTCCTTCCTTCAGCACCAGCTGGGACAACTGGATTTTGTATTCTCTACTGGGTGACCCTCACTGTGCACAGCTGTGGAGAACCTGATCACCTGCCCTTGGAGATCAGAAGTATCACAGTTTATCCAACCCACAAACAGAGTGACACTGCATAGTCTGCCTGGTTTGGTCAGAAATCCAAAACACAACACTATGAATTTCATGCTAAAAAACCTGTGCTAACTTGTGTTGAGACAACAGTTCCTAAGTAAAACATTCTGGCCTTCTCAGCTACCATTCTTATTTAAGCTGACTGCCTTTTGCACAATGTTGCTTTAATGCTGAAAGACAGGGATTTCTCTACCATGAATTGTTGGGCTCACAGAGAAATCATCTGCTTTCTGAAAACCAGACCTGCATTAAGCAGAATGTCACTTGTCCTCTCCTTGGTTTACTTAAAAAGGATGGAGTGTCCATTTTGTCAGATTTCATAGTCACTGGGGTTCTTCCAGATGCAGATTTCCATTTCTAGATAGATTGATGATCCATTGATTAAATAATTGTATTTTGATCCAGAGTAATTGCAGCATTCTGGACACTGAAAACAGTTACAGGTCCAACAAAACGCAAACAGAAATCAGCAATTTCATCAAATCTGTTATTCAGGCCAATAAATGTGTTATGCTGGTTGTTGACAAAAAAATACCACCAAAAAATCAACCAAACAGGAATAAAACCCACTAAAAGCCCTCAACCTCAAAAAGAACAAATTTTGATTCCTATGATCATAATCTGTCATGCACCAAACCAGTTTGTTACCAAGAATCAGTAGCAAACATTATTTTCTAATACAGAATTCTAATATGGATATTAATTTGTCCCATTATATTCATGTATTACTTATGAATATGGACATACAAAATAAATTCAGCCAACACACAAGTGAACACAACTGACATTCCTAGAACAGCAGCAAGATAACCTGGAGGCAAAGGAGGCCTTTGTTTACTTTCAGGATTTCTTTGCTGCCAACCTCCTTGCACTGAGACTTACAAACAAGAATAGGCCTAAATTTAATGAAGTAACTGTTTAAAGAAATGTATTTCAACATCACCACTTATGAGAAGGGAAGCTTCTAAGCAGTAAAAAAATGCAATGCAACATAATTTTAAATCAGTAGCAAAATCTTCCACTGGTAGTGCAGAGTTCTGCAAGAGTTTCTAAGCGTTGCTGTTCAAGTTTCCTAAAGGATAAAACTCCTCATATTTAACCTAAGCTTTAATTGCTATATTTCTCATGAGAGGCTCAACACAAGAGTGCCAAAAGGGTGTTGGGCACCTGCTTCTGTACCTCTGTTCTTTGATTTCAACACAAACAGGGAGAAGTGCAGGAGCATGGACAAAAATGTATTTGCATTCAAACTATGTGCAGCAGTTAGCAGCAGCACAAAAAAGAACAGAACAAAATATAATTGCTTCTGCTCTGATTAATGACATCATGTAATGTAAGCCATAGGCTACTCGTAGCCCCTTAAGCAAGATCTAATTTGTGCAGTCCATGATTTTTCCACATGGATTGATACAGTTCAAGAAATTAGTAAGTTTTCCCTCAGTATGTTCCCCCAAATGGGAAATGAATCCATGTTTACAGTTCAGCACTTACCAGACTCTAATCCACCATACTTGTACGGATACTGCACACACAGGCACAGCTGCAAACAAATCTGAGTCTTCCCAGCAGAACTTTCCCCAGCAAGCTCTGTGATTCCCACTAAAGGAATGCCACCTTTTAGCAAATTGTCTAGCACTGAACATCCCAGGCTCAGCTTCTGGTGCTGGGAGGTGGAATGATCTTTATCTTGGTAGAGCTGAAGTGCTGCAGGATTTCGGAGTGTTTTTTAATGATTAAAAAGAAAAATGAAAGGAAAAAAGTAGTTTTATTTATTATTTTTCCAACACACAATGATACAAAATAGATGCCATATACAAGGTTAATACCTACAAGGGATGCTTTCTTTGTTCATGGAGAATTTTCCTAATTTAGCCTGGTCTTCCCCACCTCTTTCTCCCCATCAGACCTACTGCTAGATGTCTGTACAAAGATTGATAATTTACACTGAGTTCTTTCCTCCTCTCAAACTCTTCTTTTCCTTTCTCTGCCTCTAAGGTGTCCCTGAGGAAAGTAACACTCTGAGAGGATTTTGACAGCAAATGTTCAAGCATAGCAAATATGGAAATAGAAAGCTATAGCAGAGTATAAAACAGCAGAGCAGGCATCTGGTCAAAGCCTGAAGACACATGCAATCACAAGAAAATAGATTTTAAGTACAGAGTTGTCATTAAGAATTTGCACAGGAGGAGTTATTAGGTCCTGCTTGTTTTGGAATGAGATGTTTATGACAAATCAGTTTATGAAGCTTTTAATATACATATAAATTTTTCAACTAGTCTTAGTCCAAAAGGAGAATAGTGGGAGAGAGGAAGAGAGTGTGAAAGAAAAAGGAAATATTTTGTTCCTGTATTTAAGTGTTTCAGACTGGAGAAACATTTTGTCCTGTTTCAAGCAGGCTCAATCCTGGAAAATGACACTCATTCATTTCCATTCACCCTCAGGGGAGCTGTCTTTAGGACAGTTAAATAATTCACTACAGCATAATTAAAACACTTCCATTCTCATTTCAAACCTACATTACTGTAGGTCATTAAGGAGCCAGAACCATATTTTCTCCCAGTGACAATTATTTTGAGTTTAAGATAAAAGATGTTTTACGACCTGACTGCATTACCTGTGAGCATGCTGTTCCTTCTCAGGGTATGAGAGATTGTTTTCAGCAGGCACTGGATGTCTGCACTGGAGAGCTTCATCAATCTCTGCAAGTCTGCTCCAGAGAGGTTTAAAATCTCTTTTACTGATTTTATGTCAGCTGAAATAAGAGGAGTTTTTATAAATACTTTTGTCTGTCTTACTGTCAAAGTTTTCCCAATTTCTAATTCTCATATACTTGAGGTTTATCTATGCTGCATTCTTGTACAGTGGGGAGGCAACATTCACTTGGAATGTACCAACACAAGCTGTAAAATTGTTTGGAAAATTATTATTGAAGCATGGGCAAAACCCAACACTTTTAATTACTCAAAAAACTTCTTTATGAAATACTTAATTACAGTTCTAAAATGTTAGTGTCCATATGCCTGCTTATACCCACAAACACACAATTATGTCAAGGATGTCACTGTGGTGACAGATCTGTTAGTGAGACACTGGTAAATTAAATTACCTTTTTTCAGGGCAGCAATTGTTTTAGGGTTCAAGTCAAACTGGTCCCAATCCATCTCCTGACACAGCACACCAATGAGCAGCACATCCCGTAATTATCTGTGATTAAAGTGGCTTTTATCACAGACACAGGCAAGAAAGAATAGGCAAAAATCAGTGTCAAAAGTTTCCAGGACGTTTTTTTTCCATTTTAACAATATATTTATTAGTTATCTTAGAGACATAACAATTGTTCTGGGATTATTATTTTATTATGGGAATTATTGATACTATTATTATTTTATATATTGTTATTATTTTACTATGGGAAGAGTGTGGCCAGCAGGCTGAGGGAGAAGATCCCTCTCTACACAGCCCTAAGTGAGGCCACATCTGGAGTGCTGTGTTCAGTTCTGGGAAAGACTGGGAGCTACTGGAAAGGGCCCAGCAGAGGCCACAAAGGTGATGAGGGGTCTGGAGCATCTCTCAGATGAGGAGAGTCTGGAGAAGAGAAGACAGAGAGGAGGAGATCTCATCAATGCATATCAAGACCTCAAACGTGGGTGCCAAGAGGATGGTGCCAAACTCTCTTCAGTTTCACCTCAAGATGAAGAAGAACTCTGACACCCAGGGTGGCAGAGCACTGGAACAGCTGCCCAGGAAGGCCATGGAGTCTCCCTCTCTGGAGACATTCCAGACCCACCTGGACTCATTCCTATGTCACTCCTGTGTCACCTGCTTTAGGTGACCCTGCCTTGGCAGGGGGGTTGGGCTGGCTGGTCTCCCTTCCAACCCTGACTATTCTGTAATCCAGCCCTTTGGCAGAAGTCTTGTCTGATGGCTGTTTACATTGATCCTATTAAAGAATTCAACCAACAATCCCAGAGTTAAGAGCTATTGGTAGTTCTAATTGCCTGTAATTCTGCACAGTGCTTTTGCTCTGGACTGCAGCTCACAAGCAAGCTGGGCAGTCAATTTATTTCTATCCTGTCAGTCTTCATACGAGGGTTTCATTTTCAAGCAGAAAAAAATCTCACACAAGAGCAATTTGGGATGACCCAGGATTATTGATGCATTGGACAGCCAAATATATATTTATTAGCTAAAAGCAAATTCAATATTAAATTGTAAAAATCTGTTTGTTTCTTGTAACGGCATTAAACAGCTCTTTTAATACTTTGGTCTAAAACACAGCAGTTTAGCACCATGGCTGCCTAGAAGAGTACTGTGAGGTTCTGAGCATTATTCTGATAAGCTTTATGAAGGATTACAGCAGACACCCAGGAGTTATATGAGAATACATGACTTTATGAACATTCCCTTTTTCAACATGGAGGGGAGAGGCTATAATGGGTCCTAATAACAGAATAAATCTAAGAGAGGCAAGTTACTTTTAAATAACACCCATTTAAAGCAACATCCTGAGAAGGTTTAGAAGCCGAAACTTACTAAAATCAATCATGATAACGATGACCCTTGACTGAAGGGCTCCAAACCATTGCGCACTCTCCACTTACAGGAAGCCGCTCCACGGATGAGGCACAGGGGAGAGCGAAACACCGGGAGAGGGTCACGGTGCAGCCGAGGGTGTCCCACAGACCCGGGGCGGACACACGGACACACGGACATACGGACACACTGACACAGCGCGGGGCCGCCACAGGCCCCTCACGCCGTCACGAATCCCCCGCCGCCGCCACAGCCAATCAGCGAACAGCTTTCCCGCGGCAGACCAATCAAAGCTCCCCTCAGCGACTGCCCCGGCAGAACAGCCAATAGCAGGGCGCCGCTAGTTCCCCTCCCGCTGGGCCGGCCGGGAGCGGCGGGGCCGGGCTGGGTCAGAGGCTCGGGCGGGCGCTGCGGCAGAGGCCGCGAGCTCTTTGTGGAGCCGCCCCTCTGCGGAGCCGCCCCTCGTGGCCGCGGGACCCGCGAATCAGTGTGGCGCTTCCGGGAACTCGGTGGACGCGGCTGTGGCGCCCGCGCCCTTCGCTTCCGGGGTTTGGAGCAAGAAGGAGGCGGGAATAGCACGCCAAGGGACACGGGATTGGCTGGCAGTCCCTTGGCGGGTGGGCGGGGCAGACGAATCTCTGCTTTCCATTGGTTGGGTGCCGTGTCCGTCGCGCAGCGCAGCGCGGCCATTGGGCGGCGGCCGTGCCCGTCCCGCGGCGGCGGCGGCGCGCGGGGGAAGATGTCGGGCGGCGACGCGAAGAAGCTGGTGCGCTCCCCCAGCGGGCTGCGCATGGTGCCCGAGCACCGCGCCGCCCGCAGCCCCTTCGGCCTCGACGAGCCGCCCTGGGTGCCCGACAAGGAGGTACCGCCGTGGGCAGCGCCGCCGCGCTTCCCTTTCCCCTTCCTTTCCTCCTTCCCTTTCCCTTCGCTTTTTAATTTCACTCAGATAATGGGTTAAAGGACGCATTCATGGGGCTGTCACTCCTTCTTCAGGGGCGTGCGGCCCCGTGGCGGAGATTTGCGAACGATTTGGTGGGCAGAAGTGTAGTGAACTGTGCAGCATTGCTTTAAATGTTTATAAATGTGGTTCTAGAGGCCGTGTAGGTTCAAAACTAATTGCATAAATTATTAAAGCAATAGGACTGAGTTAGAACAGCCCTTCTGGCTCCTGGTGTGAATGTTCGTAGTGTTAAACAGTCAGTGACAGTTCCGTCTGTTTCAGTTAACTTTGCTTTTAAGTACTTACCAAGTAAACAACGTGATGGTGATATTTTTAATTTCATGTAATGGGAGTTATTTGTTGTCGCTGCAGCCAGATGCACATACAACATAGAATCCATTGTTTGTTTATTTATTTATTGCCAGAGTTCTGTGGTGTGGACACACGCCAGTGTATTTAAATGTGACCGGAATGAAGATTTATTTTAGATGAGCCAGTGTGAATTTAAGCCGGGAGTCACCCAACAAAGCCGCGCTTTGGCAGATAGGGACGTGCTTGGTCTGTTTTGAATGGGAACACTGAGTCCTCCCTTGCTTAGGAATGAAGAAGAAAATTTTCTCCTCTTCCTGGTATCTCTTGAGGCAGAAAGTTCCGTGTAAAATAATAATAACAATGATAATTCTGGCGGCTCGCTCTGCCAGCACGGTTTGTGCAGCTCAGGCCAGCCTCTGCTGATATAAAGGGTGGGAGTCCTAAGTCACTTGATGGCTTGCCCAGAACAGTCTTTTTTTTGGAAAGTGAGTGTTCAGCTCGTTCTCAACAGGCGATCTGCTGCAGTACCTTGCGGGAATTTTCTCAGGTCAGTCTGTTCCATGCACAGAAAGCCTCCGGCCCCCAGCAGCAGCGGTTTCCTGCCTTACCCGGAGCCTGGCTAAGGTGAAATTTCGTGTCCTTTGCAGGACCGAGCTCCGCTGGCACCGCCTGTGCTCTGGGGTCTGGGTGTGTCTGGTGGGGCGAGCGCTGATCCCTGAGCTTGCAGCCAAGGCTGGGCACTGCTTGTGCAAGGGCTTTGCTTTGTGCTGCTCCTGCGGGAGTGGCTCCATCCCCTGCACTCACCTGGAATTCCCGACATCGTCTTCATCAGGGGTTATCCTTTGTGGAACAGTTCAGTTGAAATTAGTTTTGTCCCTGACCTCCCTTCGGAAGTGCAGTTTAGCCTGTCAGTATTCCGTGGTTACAGCAGACTTGTTTCATTAAGGAAAACAAAGTACCTCTAACGCAATTCTAATATGTACAGCCATCTTAATTCAACTAAAGATTGTTTGGGGATTGTGATAGCATTTATTTAAAGTAGATATATTATATATAAAGTTAGATATATTTAGAGAATTAAGTCTATATATTTTAGGTAAATCAGTCTGATGTGTGTTGTTAGTTTGAATTTTGTATTCCAGTTCTACTGTAGGTATTAATTCTCCTTAAAATTCAACTTTTCCCCTGTAGTCTGCTGGTTTATAGGCTGAGGGTGTTGAATTGTGACTGAATGTGCTCAGTGATATTTGCTATTGAGAGGAAGTGTGATAGAGGTAAATACTTAAAATGCATTTGTTAATGTAAGATTAAGAATATTAATTGTTATTTGCATTTGTGGCTAGTTATTTTACTAGCTTTCTGGAAGTACTTTAGAGGTCTGACATCCCTTTGGTTAACAATTGCAAAATATGTTACAAACTTTTTCCTTAAATAATGTAGGTATGTGACACACAGGTAAGCTTATAAATTCCATGTTTTTGTTAAGAACAATTAAATTTAAAGAGACGGGGTTATCTAGGCAATGAATTAGTTGAGAATGCTTATTCTTCTTACTGTGTCAGACATAATTAAAGTGTCTGTGTCCAAGACGAGACCTTGAGTGGTATTAACAAATGCGGATCTGGCTTTTCAAATCCATTGGCTTTTGCTGTGCAGCCAGTAACTCTCACAAATCCAGTAGCTTTATTTTTCTTATGTGAGAAATGTCAACTGGCTTATTTTTTTTAAATTAAGGCCACCTAAGAATTATGACAGTTGGTTTTGTGCAGCTTATACAGCATTGAAGTATAATTCAGTTTTTAATTTTTATGTTGTAAGATTATACAATCTTAAAATATCAGTTACTATGAACAATTTGAAATGCAAGGCTGAAGCAGGACTACTGAAAACTTTACTTTTGGTAATCTTATTTGTAATCCAGGTAATGAGGGGGATTTATGAAAGTCTGTGCTGAGCATCATTAAACTCGAGACAGAGCTTAAAATGTTGATCTCTGCATATGCCTTGCCTGACTCAGAATTTCTTTGTTAATCACCAACAGAGCTTAATTGATGATATTTCTGTTAAGGAAATCTTGGGCTAGAAGTTGAGTAAAATGTGTCAGTTTGCCTGCAGAAGTGGCCAAACCTCGTGATATCCAGCTGTGCACCAGATGTTTCCGTGGCTGAGGAACACTGTGTGGCAGGGTTCCCTGGGCTCTCCGTGGCTGCAGAAGGGAACTGAGCTGAGCTTTCCTTGGCTGGCTCCTCTCTTGGCTCAGGCTCTTGGAGAGGCACTGGTTGTGTGGCAGAGCTGCCCTTGGGCTCCTGGCAAACTCCAGGCTCAGGCAGTGTCAGAGAGCACCAGGAGCTGTGTCTGCCCTGTGTTTGCATCCTGCCCTTTCCCCCTCTGGCTTCAGCTGCCGTGGCAGCTTTTTTTTGTGCTCCGGGTGGGATTTCCCGAGTTCTCATTTGCAAAGGTTCACTGTGTTAAGGTGTGTCAGGATTCCTTATGGGTTTATATCTTCAAAAGGGCAGAGCAGTCGTTGGTTGCTGTAAAGTTATTTATTGTAAAGGCACATCAGTCTCAAAAGACAAGGAGTCCCAAGTGTTCAAGTCCATGCTAAAAGCTTTGGGCACAGAGTCCCGAGTATCAGTCAAGTCCCGGCTGGAGGAAGAAGCAGCTCCTGGTGCAAAGCCCTGAGAAGGCGAAGTTGCAGCAGCAGCTCCTCTCTTCTTCCAGGTGATGATGATGGTGCTGAGGAGAAAGGAGAGAGAATCTCTCCCCAGTGCATGGATTCTTATTTACAAATTACCCAGTGAGCTAAAAACACGAATCTGAAGCATTTCTTCTAAACCTGTTAGAATTTTGATTCTATAGTACGAAAGTTTACGCATAACTTGTGCATATAGCCTATCTGCTCTATCTGAAGAATGTAAGCAATATTCTTACTATATTTTTATTATCTCTAGAACTATGTTTTTGAGCTCTCACTGCAGCTTGTTTTCAAAGCTTGTTTTTGTTTTTGAGCTCTCACTGAACTTGTTTTTCACACTAGATTCTAAGGCTTTTGCTTTTTAAGGCACTTAAAACATATTCTTACTTATGAAACTAACTTACTTAAAACTTAAGCTTACACATCTATTTCATGTCTGTGTGGCTTAATATATTTTAATTTCTCTAAAGGTTTTTAATTCTTGCCTTGTGTTCTCTCTCTGAGGGACTCAGGGCTCTATTTTCACATTCCAACAAAGGAGCTCAGCCAGGTGTTCCCATGCATCACTTCTTGAATCATTCTGTTATTATTTATGCAGATAAAGTATGTGAAGTGTAACTATAGATTCCTGTCCATCCGTGGGATTTTCACCTCTGGCTGGATCCATGGAATTATGGAAATAAGTTATCACACTTGAGCAAACCCATGAGAAGCTTGCAGTGAAGCAGCTCTCTGTAATTTAAATTAATGCCAAGATCCAACAGCTGTTGGATGTTCTTCCATTTTCTTCTTGCTAGATGAAGTAATCTGATACTGCTCTTGGTGGTTGCATATGAAATGAATGTACTTGTGACATGAATTCTTATTTAATTTCTTGCTTCACATCTTTTTGTTTGAAGACACGAGAAGTAACTTGGACATTGTGCTTCCTTCTCTGTTAATGTGATAAAACCCCTCCAAGCAATAAAGCTTAATTCAGTACTAGTCACTCTGTAATTATGTCAGTGTATGGATGAATAGGAAGAATTCATCTTTCAAGATGTTCTCAATAAGTATCTTGTCCCAGGCAAGGTAGAAGTTGACATTATGCAGATGGTTCACTTGGTTCTGGTTACTTAAAGGAGAAATACCTCAAAGGAGCAGTATCTTGAGCTTGCTTGTGTCAGAACATTTTCCTGGGAAAATCCCATTTTGCAAT